GATTTTGTTTTTAATTCTTATTATAATTAGATTTTATCCATTACTAATAAGTATAGTAAATTTTAAAATATTATGTTGCCATTTTAAATATAAAATATTTTTAAATCGAATATTTTTATATGTTAACAATTAAAAATTGTAACATATTTATTGTACTTTTTAATACTTATACAAAAATGTTATGAGAAGGAATTGGGCCATATTACCCATTAGGCAGGCAAGGCTATTGCCTTAGGCGCCACAAAAAAATAGGCGCATTGTCCCCAACCAACTTAAAAAAATTGTTACCTACCAAATGGTTTATTTTTCCAAAAAATAAAGCAAATAAACTATATATAGTATATATACAATTTTGAGAACGGTAGAGCACCGAATATTCTTTACTGTTTTTATTATTTTTTAAAACAGCGGCTTCCTTTGTAATAACGCCTTACATAAAACTACAGGGAATTAAAGCTGTTTTACATTTTTTAAATACTTACTACCCAAGTAGTACCACTGGTTAAATTAACGTTATTTTGTAATAAGTGGGGAATTTAATTATGATAAAATTAATGTTAGGGGGCATCCATTAATTACGTGAGGTGTTTAGGGGGGGAAGGGCGTCAAGCCAAACCTCACCCAATCTCACGTGGGGGGAGGGTGCTCTCGGCAAATATTACGTAATTTTTTCTTTTCGAATTAAACACTGTAAAATTGCGAGAAAACCTGGTTAAATTAAGTTAACAATTATAAGAAAATTGTTTTTTTAATAAATATAAGTCAATCACAGATTAACTTAAATTAAAATTAATTTAAATTAAAACCATGCATTTTAAAAAATCTCACGTGAGATTAAAGTAGGGGGGAGGGGGTCGAGCAAAATCTCACGACATCTCACCAAGGGGTGGGGGGAGTCGAAAAATCGCCAAAATTGCCTCACGTAATTAATTGATGACCCCTTATGATAGTAAAACTTAACTTCTTGGTTAACTTTGGTTAAAAAGAAGTTAATATTTGATAGTTTTTGGTTTATTTTAGCCTTTTTTAACTACTTTTTAACTCTTAAGTCAATTTAAGTTTATTTAAACTACCTATACATAATTATATATAATTATAATTTACCAAATATGGTTATTTACTCTCTTGAAATGAAATAGTAAAAATTCTACTATTTGAATTAGTATCAGCATTGTTTACTAATTAAATAGTCGTTTTTACTTTTAAATATTTATTTATTACTATAGTATACTTAATTAGTTAAAGTTTGACTAATTTAAGATAAGTCGCCATATTTTACTGTTACTGAGAGTAATAAGTAACTGATTTTTTTAATCGTTTTTAATTCTTGCGGCGTTAAATGCATATAGGCTCCATGGTCCATAAAAATAAAGATGCAAAAAGTTTAGCTCCAACACAAAAATATATATTCAACTTTAACAATATTATTAACAATATTTATTGACAGATATCATAAATTTAATAAGTAGCAGTGGTGCTTCTACTAATTTGACTGTTTCATTCCGTAGAATTTAACTTATTATAATTAGTGACTGGCTAATAATTATTAGTGACTGCTTTGTCGCTATGACAATAATTCAAATATGACTTATAATTAGTTATTTTTGACTTATTCATTTTAAGAGACTATATCTATAGATATTACTTACAGACTAAATCAAAATATGTCTAAAAAAATAACTCGTCTTAAACATTTTTAATTTATGTTTAATATGTATTTTTTTAATAAAATAGTTATTTGTTTTACTAGTTTTGAAAAGCGACTTTTTCATGCGAGTGTTTAAGTTGCCCACGAGGCCGTTAGGCCGAGTGTGCTTTAACACGAGCTTGAAGAAAGCTTTTCTCACAAGTGAAACACAATATTTTTTCTCCGACCCTTTTATATTTTATTATATTTAAATACTAAACAAAATAACCTAAAAACGTGTTTGACAGCTGTTAAAATTCTTTCATCTCATTCTTTTTACTTAAAATCAGTAAACTTACCTTACAAATACAATACAAAATTTGAAACGAATGTCAAACGATGCTGTCAATTTCTTTTCACACAGACCTCACTTTTCACACAAAAAGTCACTTTACATTCGTGTTTTGCCTTGCCAATGAAAAGATTCATTTTCTAATCATTGATGCCTATATGAAATGTGACTTTTACATAGTGGTCGTAGAAAAAATATTTTAATTTATAAGGGATAATAAGGTAAGTATGCCCGGGCGCCCTTAAGCTACCAGATTGTATAGTATAAGCATAGTATCTAGTAATAGGCACCAAATTTTTAAGTGCCTAAGGCGCTTGATTGCCTTAAGCCGGCCCTGCCTACACCTCGCCAAAGTTTTTTGTTTTGAGTGCGTTCCATCAACTTCAAATACCGACACTGTCGAGCAACTTGTAGTAGTGGAACACACCCAAAACAAAGAAATACCTGAGCTTATATAACATGGTTATATAACAGAGGCAAGATGTAAGAACATCACGTGATCCACACCGTCTAACGACGCGTCGCGACGTGGCCTTTGCCGCAATCGGTACATACTATGCAACCAAGTAGGTTCAATTCTTTCTTATAAGTATTACCAGTAATGGGTCAAGAAAGTTTATTAAAGAAACTAAGAAAATTGAAAGTTTAAAATGTCATGAGTTACTATATTGTATAATATATTTAAATATACCTATTGTTTATTTACCTTAAACATAAAAGTATCTTTATTTTTACTATATTTTTTATTATTGTGTAATATATAATAATAATATTAGATGTACACCTTACATTTGATTAAATCAATTTACTATACGAACATATTAAAAATTAAAATATATATTATACATTTATGATTTAGTAATATCTTTACTAAAATTGTATAATAAAAAATAGTATTTTGTATTACAATCTTAATATTGTATTGACGAATATATAATATTGTTACCCTAAAAATTTGTTAAAGTAAATTTTACTATATTTTTTTTACTATCTAAAATTTTTCTCTCCGTGTAGTATACTTAGGATGCATTGTTGATATTATAATATACAGTGTGTCCGTAAAGTCCCGGAACATGTGATTATTTTGAAAACGGTATTTTTTTTTAAAAAACGCTGAAACACGTCAACTTTGGTATTTTTCTAGCAATATTTTAGCATATGTAGTTGTTCCAAAATCTGCCGCGTGGCGGCGCCCCAATCGAAGTAAGGTTTTTTTAAATTACAACCCTTAATTTTTGTTGCATTTTTGGATAGCTACCGTCGTCCTGAGTACATTGATATGCTACATGTGGAGGGTTACATAAGAAAATTTTTGAGAAAAGTAGGTTTTTGCCGCTGATTAAGATTTTGGTTTTGACGAACTTATTCGCTGTTACGGGGCACTATGCATTGCTAGTAAGGGATTATTTAAATCAGGTCTTTCCCAATCGCTGGATAGGTCAAAGGGGTCAAATTGAGTGGCCAGCGCGATCGCCCGATTTGAACCCTTTAGACTTCTTTTTATGGGGACCTCTTAAAAACCGCGTCTATGTAAACAGGCCTTAAAATTTGGACGACCTAAGACACCGCATTCAAGCCAAGATCCAGATGATCACTCCAGCGGTACTGGCAAACGTACAACGCTCGTTTGTAGACAGGCTGTTCCATTTCCAAATAGTTTACGGTGGACACTTTGAGCAACTGCTCTGATTGGCTTTCCAAAAAACATTAAGCAACGCATAGATTGTGTAAGAGTGACAAAATACCAAAATCTCATTCGGCGGCAAAAACCTGATTTTCTCAAAAATTTTCTTATGTAACCCCCCAGATGTGGCACATCAATGTAATCAGGACAACGGTAGCTATCAAAAAATGCAACCAAAATAAAGGGTTGCAATTTAAAAAAAACTGACTTTGATTGTGGCGCCGCCACGCGGCAGAATTTGGAACAACTACATATGCTAAAATATTGCTAGAGAAATATCAAAGTTGGCGTGTTTCAGCGTTTTTTTAAAAAAATTACCGTTTTCAAAATAATCACATGTTCCGGGACTTTACGGACACACTGTATAAAATATTTGGTCGACTGGAATCCACTTCATTGACACAGCTATTATGTTTTCCTCCTCAGATTATGCCGAAATGATTAATATTATGGGGAGTATGGGCGAAATGCTAGGGAGGCAGCACAAGTTTTTTCCCAGCGCTTTCCCGATCGTCCTCTGGACTGTAACGTTGTTCTGCATTGTAACAAAATTGAAGGGGCTTCTCACAATCCACACAACAAGGTATGTTCTATCTCGTACTAAAAATACTAAAAATCACTGCAACACTGTAGTTTAACGGCGGCCATTTTTGTTGTTTACAATTTTTGTGCTTTGGGTTTGTGCTATGTTTATTAGGATGGGTCTTTTTTAATTTTTTTAATGTTTTAAGGGGCACAGTAAAAAAAAGGTGCAAAATGGTATTGTTATTCCACACATATTTTTATTTTGGGGTTTGGTTAAGTTTAATTGCCTCCGGATTTTGATTGAATTTTAAAAATAAATACATGTTTTTGAATTTATTTCTCAATTAAAAGATAAGGTATTTCATACATTAAATATATTTTTTATTCGATTGAATGACAAAATATACTATTAAAGGAATGTTTTAACCTGTTTTTGTCAAATTTTGTCATTTTTAGTTTTACGATTCCAATTTAAAAACCCCCTATATGAGAAATGATGTATTTAGGTTTTATCATGAATTAAGTATATAAATAAATTATATGTGGTCTGATTAAAAGAGGTAAAAAAATCTGGATCTTGGATTAAAAACTAAAAATTCAAATATTATACATTAATTATTAATTATTAAAGAGGTATAAAACATTATAAAGAAGGTAATAAAATTTACAGTTAAATCTATACCTACAAAATGGAAAACAATATATAAAGCTAATGTTTAATAACATGGATTAAATTATTTCGATTTAGATTCGTTATCAAGTGTGCTTAATTAATATATTCCTACAAACCTACAAGTATGACGAGTACCCGTATGAATTGGAACTGTCCCTTATTTGGTGATGTGTGTGATTTAAAAGACAATATATTACCCACTTATGCAGAAGTCATGAAGTTTTATGAGTGGACCCGACGTAATATAAAACATCTAAGAGAAACTAAAAAAGAACCTATTTACAAAGAAATAGAAATTATTGTGGTTTCAAAACTTATAAAAATATGGGATAAAGCCTCTATTCCTACAGTAGAAGAAAAACGAGTGAAAGCTATGTTACAAGCATATCATTTAAAATGCAAAAACATCTTAAAGTCTCACCCAAAAATACCAGACAATAAATTGGAAGAATTCCGACTACGAGGCAAAGCTTTGTTTGATATTTCGGCCTGCAAGTGCCCAGATATTACTAAATGTACCTGTCCTAAACAGAAAAAAGTACATATAAGAGAACAAAGCTTCTTAATAGACCAACGTACTTGTAGAAAAATGGTGATAGGGGGCATAGATGTTCGCACAACCACGCAAATCAGAAAAACAATAAAAAGAAACGAGAAGAATCTCTAAGTAAACGCCAGAAAATAGATGAAACATGTAGGAAAGAAGAGCTTAGTAGTACATCCGAATGTAACAGGACCAAACTATTCAACAGTTGCAAGCTGCAAACACTGAAGCAGAAAGTAAGTCCACAATTACTGCAAGGGAAGGATTCATAAAAGCCCAAATAGAGTCACGAAAGACAATGCCGAAATTCGACTGCAAAAAGGACTTTTTAGCCAACCATACCAACTTTATTTTTAATAAATGGCAAGAAACGATCTTAGTATTTTTATTTATGTACACACTACAAATTATACAGTTATTTAAAGTGATTTCTTATATGATAAGTTTATTCCTTAAATAGCGATTTTTTTGGTAATTTTAAGAAGGATCCGGAGGCAGAAGATGAATTTCAATTATAATAAAATTTTATATGCTATTTAAGGTCGTCATTTGACACCAATTTTTGACTGTGCCCGATAAAATATTGAATTATTTTTTTTCTCCCTATATAAATGACCCACCCTAATGTTTATACAGATTAATAATAGTTTTAAACGTTATGTTTTTTACAGAGGCACTTGGCACTTAGAAGAGGCCTTAAAGTGCTAAGAAAAACCATTTTACTCCTCTTGTATATAATATTTTTTATAAAATGGTTGTCTGCACTTAATTTGAGGCTTACAAGTGCCTTTGTAAGAAACACAACGTTTAAAACAATTATTAAACAGTACAAACCCAAAGCACAAGAATTGTAAACAAGAAAAATGGCCACCGTTAAACTCTGTGCAGTGTTGCAGTGATTTTTAGTATTTTTAGCATGAGATAGAACATACCTTGTTGTGTGGATTTTGGGTATACCAATATCTCAATTATTAGATATGGGGCAGAATTTAAATTGAAGTTTGCGAAAAAAAGATAACTTTTTGCTCGGCCGTACCGACCCCATGGCGCCCCCAATAAATATAATATAAATTTAATTGGTGCAATTTTTTTTTTACCATAGTTTATCGACAAATTTCAAATTTTATTTAAAAAATCCAAATCACACAGATTTTATATCATTTTAAATTTTTATTATTTCTTTGAAAAGAAGGATTTTTAAAGTTTTAAAACAACAATGTTCTATCGTCCCCTAGTAATTTTTAAAGCTCCTACGTTTAACTTAGGCGAGAGCTCTCGGTATTGGATGATGCTTTTTTGCTCTCATTTGATTACACTATTACCTATAGTTATATAGAATTTTTTTATTTTTAAATTTGGCATCTCCATTGCTATGAGCTCTCCCTTTTCTCAGTGGCGCGAATTCTGGGACATCCTGTATAAAAGTGTTCGTTAAATTCTCCTAACATTTTTTATGGTAGAATAAAATTAAGTAAAATAAAACCACGTTTTATATTTATTACCATTTCATGAATATTTTTATAATGCATGTGATTGTTAATGTATTTTTTATCTTTTTGTTATTCCATAAAACTCATCATGCCTTAAAAATCATATAAATAATAGTATAAAACCCGTTTTTTAAATATTAAATAATTTTAACAGTCTCAAATTCCCAAACAGAAATTGTAAAAATAAAAATGAGGGTTGTTTTAGTTTTGGTGTTTATTATTGGTTGCACATACTATATTCAGGCGCAGGAATTATCTTGTGCTCATTGCATCTTTTGTCCTAAAAAAAACTGTACTGAAAATCAAACTATGGAATACGTTGGAACTGTTTTTGGATGCTGTTGCACCACATGCATCGAAAATGCAAGTAAGGAAAAAGCATCCGCAAAAGGACCATATTGATAAATAAATATATAATGGGCATTTAATGCCAAATTCTTTTTTTTTATAGTTAAATTGTGAAAGCAAAAAATTAAAATAGAATAAATTCTAACAAATTCTAATAAATTAAATTTTGTTTTGTTTTAGATGTTGGTGAAGCCTGTGGAAGTTACATTATACTACCACTAGTTAAGCACTGTGGTCCTGGTTTAAAATGCGAAAATAAAGTGTGTGTTGCCCAGTAATAGCCTAAAATAATTTGAATAACAATAAATGTTATAAAAGCTTTTCTGGGAGCTCGTTTTTATTTTGTTTGTATTTTTATAACAAAGATCCCCTTTCCCAGATTTATTTATTTATTTAAATGAAATTTTAAATTTGCAGTGTTTTAAAAGTCTATAGAACTGTACATAGGTTGATACTTTATAATTTAATTTTTTAAATAATTTTAAATAAATATATATTAGGGTGAAAAAATCTACTATTCTTTTTTATTTACTCATGAAATCGAAAAGTTGGTTGCAGGACACTTAAAAGAAGCCGCTTTACGTATGAGCTCTTACTATTAAGAGTAACAATTTTGATATTGAATTGAATGTTTCACAAAAAAAGGTATCAAATGTTTTTTATGTAAACCAAGTCATTCAAAAGGTATTTTAAGTAAAAATTTAAAGTTTTAAACAAACATTTTTTTGTTGAAATTAAACTGATCTGCGAAAAAGGTTTTTTTGATAAATGCAAGTGTTTTAAATATAATCGCAAAGTTCAAAGTTCCACTTAAACTTTCAACCTTTTTTTAATGATCACCCCAAAAAATATTAATTTTAACTGTCGATTTTTAAAAATATCTTTAAAAATTCGTGTGCATTTTTTATGCACTGTCCAATTGCCTAGGAGTATACTCAGTATATCAGTTTCATCATAGACTTTGATTCAAAGTTTTAATAATCCTGTCACATGGTCGCTAAAAGCTGTTTTTCTAAAATAAAATAATTTGAGGCAACATCCTACTGTATATGCTGTTTGGCTTTATTAATTTTTTTTCTTTCTTAGCGATCTTTTGTTATTTTTGGATCAACACGTTTAATATAAGACTTAGTACAATGGATTTAAACAACAATTTTATTGTAATAATACGATGTATAGTTTTGTCCTTTATTTTGAATTCTATTGACAGAATAACGATATTAATTGCCTACTGTTGCTAAAAATATATAAAAATAATAGAAAGTTATTTATAAAATTTGCGTCATAAAGCTTTATAATTGCGTGACGGTTTACTGCATCTTGCCTGCCATGCTTCGCACTTTGGCAAATAAACAAGACAGGTATGTTTCCGACATTTATCTCGTGATTACTTACGTCACTTTTGTAATTTAAATTGATGTATTTTTTTCTTGTTTGACAGAATTTTTTGATTTATAAAAAGAAATAAAGAAATACTTAAGAAAAAGAAGTTATAAAATTAGAAATATACAGGGTGTTTCATAATATATGCGCAGGACTTCAGGATGTGATAGCTCAACCAAAAAGATGAAAAAAGTCGCTATTAACTTACCCTCTAAAATGCACAATTTTCGAGATACAGGGTGTTGAAATTTTAGAAAAAAAATCGTTTTTTTTCGATTATCTCTGTAACCGTTTATCGTACAAAAAAACAGCTTTTGTAAGCATTTTCTACTCATAATAAGCTATGTTTTGTGCCAGAAAAAAAATTTTTTTTTACTCATAATTGGTGGAGATTTTGAAGGGGTAGCGGGTGTTTTTCTCCTCAACTTCTACGCCCCTGAAAAAAGTACGGTTTCGAGAGGCCCATTCGAACCGTCAATGTTTTCTACACAAATAAGTATTCTTGGTCATAAGCTCTAAAGTTTTTTTCAAAAAATTGACCATGTTTTTAAACATAAAAGTTGATTTTTCTCGAAAACGGTCAAGTTTAGAGCTTATGACCAAGAGCAAGAAAATGCTTACAAAAGCTGTTTTTTGTACGATAAACGGTTCCGGAGATATTCGAAAAAAACGAATTTTTTTCTAAAATTTCAACACCCTGTATCTCGAAAATTGTGCATTTTAGAGCGTAAGTTAATAGCGACTTTTTTCATCTTTTTGGATGAGCTATCACATCCTGAAGTCCTGCGCATATATTATGAAACACCCTGTATAAAATAGTATGGTTCAACGATTGAGAATTCCTGATGAATTACTCCACTCGCCTTCGGTTCGTGTCGCAATATTTCATCCTCATGAAAATGGCCGATTCTCAAGAGTTGACCACTTTACTTTTTTTAAATTTTATAAAATAATTTGGTACAATTTTGTGTAATTACGATAATTACAGATTTGATGACAAATCTCAATGTCAATTAATTTAATTTAAGAAAATAATAAACCACCGTATGATCGTCTAGTCCGACAGTTAACGTAGAGATAAATTATTTTTCACAGTTTATAAGACTAATGTACAAATTCTTTAATATTGTAACGTTTTTACTGTTCGTAGTGTGAATAAAAACAGGCACTGGTTTATTGCCGAACTAAACGATTTATTTTATACCTTAATTACACTTAAAATACTAAGAAACTATAAAACTAACTAATCACTTAACTACTAATTATTTATATATCACTACTGTACAAGAGTATATTTATTTGCACGTATATTTAATTTATTTCGTCGCCAGTACAAAAGTTAGCGCTGACTCACCGGCGATGAGTCATCATTCCGAGATCCAGAGCGGTACTCGCTACAATATGATTAGAAATATATATTCCAATAAAATTGGAGAATATATAGTATTATTGCTTTAAGATTATTGAATATTTTTTTTTATTACTATAATCGCAAAATATTAACACAAAGTATTAAATATTCCTACACGGGAAATGTTAATGGTGATAATTACGTAATGTTCATCTTCTACGGGAGGAAGGAAGGAAGGAAGGAAGGCAATCTATAATTCAGCGGGTTATGAAGGACGTTCATTTTACGCGAGTGCAGAACCTGCAGTCGGAAGATAATCCCGCTAGAGTAAAATTAGATAGTGGTTGCTAGAGATTTGTTGTTGTTTAATTTTTACTTTAAAACATTGGCGTCCTGAACTATGACATTTGTTTTTGAAAGAGTAGTAAACACAGTCGAACAAAAGATTTTTAAAAGTTTTAAGACAACAATGTTCTATCGCCTCCTGGCAATTTTTAAAGCTCCTATGTTTAACCCAGGCGAGAGCCTCGGTATTGGCTGCCGCTTTTTTG